CTAAGGTACCCTGGAATTTAAATTTTATAAAAGATAACATTGCTCCCAAAGAAGATTCGGAAGCAGCGAAAGAAAGTGAAAAGGGAAAGTATTTTTTCTTCTCTCTCCTTCCTCACATTGACAATGAAGAGAGCTGAATAAGAAATCAGAAAAATCCGCTTTGGCACCAATAATTAAGCTGAAAATATAATTAAATGCCAAAGGGACAATAAAGATTTCTGGACACTAAAAAATCCTTTTTGTCTATAAGTAGGAAGGGAGAGGAAAAGAATAAGGGCAGGATCTGGAAGGAGGAGACTGCCTGGACTTCAAAAGAATTTAATGTAAAATCTCAATAAGACTTCTAAAAGATACATTTTAACTGGAACTTTGTAAGTGTAGTGTAAAAAAGTGTAAAAAGAAACAGCTTGTGTGTATTTGGATTGCTTGGTGATTTTGGGATTTTTGGATATTATATTTGAATGACTAAAAACAATTGGGTGGTTGTTTAAATTTTTTTACAATGGCACTATCTCTGGATGAACTGAAAATGGAATTTAAAAAATATAAAGAAGAGATACGAGAAGGGAAGGGCTCCTTTGGCTCCATTTTTCAATTCTTAGAAATGGCGATTCGTAACTACGAGAAACAACAAGAAAAACTGCGCAACAAGAAGATTGGGACAAAGAAGAAGCCATCTTTAATGAACAAGTAACTCTATCTGGGGAAGAAAGGGGAAAGGGGAAAAAGAGAATGGAAAATTTAAGACTTAAAAAAACAACCAAAAAAGGGAAAAATAATTTGAAAAGTGGATATAATGTTGGAAAGCAACAGAAAAGGGGAATACAGAAGAGGGAAATGGAGGTGGAGAGACAGAGGGGTAAAAAGGGGAGAGAGAAGAAGAAAGGGAAGAAGGAAAGGAAGAGAAGTTACAAAGGTTTGGAGCAAAATGTAAAGAAACAGGACCTATTCAGAGATAATGGGTGAAAATCTAATTGAAAAAGGGATTCTGTGAAGGTACATAAGATTGTATTGTTATATTTGTAATAGAAATAATGTGAGAAAATTGGAAACAACATATGATTAAAAAGAGGAATAAAATAGTCAGTGTAATTTAGGGAAACTTTTGTGAATAAAATAAATGAAATAAAATAAATGAGAGAATTGAATTAGGAAGGAATGGGAACATTTTAATTACTCAATGTTTTATAAAATATAAGTGAAATGGGGGGGAATTAACTATGGAAAGTTTATAAGTGTTCCCATAGAAGTATGATATTTATCTGAAAAGTAATGTGTAAAATGTTAAGATTTAAATGAATATTAATATTAATGATAGAATTGAATTGGTATGGATTGTTGTTCTAATTATATTATATATTTATAATTTTTTTCTTTTTTTAAAATACAGTGTGTAGTTTTAGAAAGTACCAAGCAGAATCCAAATGGAAGTTATGTATTATATTAAGTGTTATAATTTTAGGGGAAAGATATAAAGGCGTCATACTCCAATCAGTGATTACAGGAGAAATTTTGTTTAATGAGAAAAGATAGTAGACAGTTGAAACAGGTCAGACAAATAATATAAGTACAATGATTTGAACTGAGATGAAATAAATAAAACAAAATTAAGAAAATTAAAAGAGGGGAGAAGCTATATTGAAAATGTAGAATAGTAATAAGATATGGAATGGAATATAAAAATGAGAATGAGCTTGAATTTGTGTCTGTACGAAGAGATGTAACCCGGGACTAAGCTGCTTTCAAAAAAGATGTTTTATGTTTTTATGTTTTATGTTTTGTTTGTTTATGTTTGTTTTCAAAAATCAATAAAATTTTCAAAAAAAAAAAAAAAGAAGAAGAAGAAGAAGTCTGAATGTCAGTGTTCCAAGTAGCAACCTCCAAATTAACAAATTCCAAGACCGTCATCTTCTCAAAGATCCAGTTTATTAGAGATGTCATATTGGCACATGTGAGAAAAACATGTGAGATTTGTGGTTTTTTTTCCTACCTCAATGAGAATCCAAAATCCAACCTCTGCACCCAATAGTTCATCACATGGTTCAATCAATACTTTATTCCAAGTGGACACTATCTCCAGGAAATCCTCTCCAGGTGCAGGGCAACCTGTCCTTGATTCTCTGAGTCAGGAATATTGTGGCTAATCTTCCACCGCTCCTTGAAATCTCCCTCCCAAATTCCCAGGCACTGAATGTGGCAGCCCAGAAGCCTCAGAGAAAAGCTGACACTGGCATTTTTCAAGAAACTCAGCTGAAATTAAGCTCAAATCCTAGAAAAAATGTATACCCCTCTCTGATAGAGGACAGAACTACAAAGATGAAGAAACCTTGATGAACATTTTGAATGTTCACTAGTTGGAGAGGATAGTTAGGCATATAGTTATGTAGGTAGACATGTAGATAGGTAGATGGATAATTAGATAGAGATAGATAGATAGATAGATAGATAGATAGATAGATAGATAGATAGATAGATAGATAGAAGGCATGTCACCCAAGTAATAATGAAATACTGTAAATTCAGAGAGAAACTAGCTCTGCAAGTGATACTTCCTCTGTTCTCATCATTGGTGGCACAATGTCCCACGTACTTTATTAATTTTATAAACTGAAATTCAAAGAACATCCTTGAATTAAACTTATGACATACCATTGTAAGGAGTTTATTTATTTAAGAGAATTTATATGGCCACCAATTCATTGTCAGTGTCTCTCAGCTGCTTAAAAAAATAAAAATAAAAACCCAATATAGCAACAATAAAGATACACCCCTAGAGATAACTATCAATCAGTTGAACCACTTCATGGGCTCCAACTCACTCTGGGTTCCATAGGGCTATTGGCAAAATGGGGTACTCAGGGCTTTGCAAAACAATTTCAAAGTAGGAACCCATCTTATCTCCATCTGGATGATGTTCAAGAGGGAAGAATCTATCACAAAGAAGATACTTCTTCTGAGTCCCACCAGATGTCCTCACTTAAGAGAGAGGATGTACAACATTCCCTGACTCTCTGTTCTACCGGATCATATGAATGTGATCAATAAGAGGCATTTCTTCAAATAACCTGGTCCCAGGTCATGCAGGGTTTAAAGATGACAACTAGCACTCTGAAAAAATGGATTCATTTTGAACCAATTGGAATTCTGCATAGTTTTCAACCACAGTCCCATGTAGGTTGACTGGTGATTGATTAATTGGTGGCATGGTGTCCTGCATAGTTTGCCACTTTTACAGATTGAAATTTGAGGAACATCCTTAAATAAAACTATAAGACATCCCATTTTTGGCTTCGAGAGTCACCTGCAGCCCTCTGCCAATGAAAATAGAGCTGGGGCGGGGGTTGCATGGGGTCCTCCTGAGCTCCAATTTTGCTGGCAGAGGCACCATAGGCTGGTCATTCACTGTTTCCAATGTGGCCCTATGGGCCAGTTCTAAGCACCCCATTGGCCCATGGGCCTTGGGTTTGACACCCCTGCAAAAGACATACCATTGTAAAAGGATTTTTTTTCTTATTCTTATATGAATAAAAGGTGTTTGTGCAAAAACATAGTCTTTATTTCTAATCAATAACTTCTCTGCCTTTCAAATGTTTCTAGATGTGGGGAAAAATAACATTGTTTAGAATATATTGAAGTGTTTGTCAGAAGATGTGCAAGACCTTTTTTTGAAATTTTAGAGAGCTTAAGATATATTTTTTTAAAAGTTCTTTGTTGTTGCTTCCCAGAAAACATGCTTACAGATGGATACCTTCTGGATCTGTTCATTTTCTATGTTGTGAAAAAATTGGTAGAAAATAAATGTGGTATCTTGAAAAAAAAGCTCTATTTTTATTTCTACAATTATAATAATTAAATATATATTCTATTGCAAATCTCCCTTATACTCCTTTTGTTGGCAGTTGCTCATTGAAAAAAATAGCTGAACCATCTCATCAAAACAAAATAATTATATCCTAGAGGAATTACTGTGGGCCAAAACATCAAAGGATGCACAGAAGGCTATTGAAATTCAACAACAATGAACTGAATTGAACTGAACTGAATTCTTTATTGGCCAAGTGTGATTGGACACACAAGGAATTTGTCTTGGTGCAAATGCTGTCAGTGTACATAAAAAGATACATTCATCAAGAATCATAAGGTACAACACTTAATAATAGTCATAGGGTACAATAAGCAATCAAATCATACTACGAAACAGTCAATATAAATCATAAGGATACAAGTGACAAAGTTACAGCCAGTCACAAGTGGGAGGGGACAGGTGATAAGAAATGATAGAAGATTAATAGTAGCAGTAATGCAGACTTTGTAAATAGTTGGACAGTGTTGAGAGAATTATTTGTTTAGCAGAGCGATGGCATTTAGGAAAAAAACTGTCCTTGTGTCTAGTTGTTCTGTGTGCAGTGCTCTATAGCATCATTTTGAGGGTAGGAGTTGAAACAGTTTATTTCCAGGATGTGAGGGGTCTGTAAATATTTTCACAGCCTTTTTTTGACTTGTGAAGTATACAGGTCCTCAATTGAAGGCAGGTTGGTAGTAATAGTTTTTTCTGCCATCCTAATTACACTCTGAAGTCTGTGTCTTATTGGATTGCAGAACCAGACAGTTATAGAGGTGCAGATGACAGATTCAATAATTCCTCTGTAGAACTGAATCAGCAGCTCCTTACTGGAAGTGAAGGTATCTATTTGGCTATAAAGTGAATGCAGAGCAACAGAGAGTTTGGTACAAGGGGTAATAATGTCTCTGTCAAATTCACTGCTTCAAGTTTCTACCCTCTGTTCTCTTCTGCCAAAGTATCTGTTCAAATCCTTCTGATATTCAAGATAAAAATTTGTACTTTCATGGATCTTCAAACAGAAAATGATAGATTTTCTCATTAGATGTATTCTCCAATATAATCCTTAGATCAATCTTTAGATGGAGTATTAGATTATATATGCTTCCCTATGGGTAGGATGAAAGGCAAACATTTTCACAATAATAAAAACATCAAGATGTTTTTCCTGATGCTTTTGATGGACAAAGTAGGTACTTTGAGCTGCCCTGCAAGTGATGCTTTCCTTGTTCCACATGAGTGGTACCAGCCTGGGGATTTCATCGTTGGTGGGATGGTGTCTCACATTGTTTACCACTTTTATGAAATGAAATTTAAAGAACATCCTGCTATAACACTCTATGATGTACCAAAGTAAGAATATTTCTTAGCTGACTTATATTAGTCAGACCTCCCAAAATTCCTTGTATAAATAACATCGTTATGCATAAATGTAGGGCTTTTTGTGTAATCTATGCTTTTTGTATCTTTCAAATGTATCTGGTCTGATAGAAGAAAATTATTATTTTAAATTATTATTATTTTAAAGACCTTCACATGAAATGTACAAAATTTCAGATCAAAAAATCTTCTGTTGAACTTATACTGGGGTTAAGGTAATTTTTAAAAAAAGTTTTGGCTTTAGCTCCCCTCACAAAACATGTATACAGTAAATGAATACATACATGCTAAATGTATTCATGTAACATTTTTTTTGAAAATATTGTAGAAAATATAGTACTTTGAAAAAGTCACAGCTTATATTTTTTGCAGTGTATATTAGTTGAAAGTCATGGAAATAATGAGAAAAACGTAAATTTGAACTCTATAGAAATTAGCAATAAAGGAGAATATTTGTAGCTCAGGGTTTTAAATGAAGGGTCCTTGGTGCTCGCTGAGATTGATTATTTTCCTGCAGACATCTCATTATCCAAACTAGATAATATCCTCAGTGCCAGACAGTAATGATGTTACCTACTCTGTCTTATGAAATGTCTGCAAGAGAGCCACCAAACTCAGAGAGCATCTCTGTAGAAATTATCTTGTTACTACTGTCAGAGAAAAAAATGTTTGTTATTCATTCAGAAATGATGTCACCTTATGAGAATTTTCAACTTACTTTTTCAACTTGAATAATTAAATCATTTGCAGCATAATCACCAAATTTCATCAACACGTCCTTGCCTTGGCCTTTGCTGTGAAGGAGATCAATGAGGACTCCCAGATCTTAGCTAACGTCACTCTCGGGTTCCACATCTATGACAGTTACTACAATCCAAGGATAACCTACCGTACCACTCTGGACCTCCTTTTCAAGTCCCAGGAATTTGTCCCTAACTACAAATGTGATAGCCAGAAGAATCTCATGGCCATCATTGGGGGACTAGATTTTGACACATCATCTTATATAGCTGAAATTATGGGATTCTTCAAGATTCCACAAGTAAGCTGTGATGGGGTTGAGAAGGAAAATGTTTTTTTTATATATGTATGTATGTATGTATGTATGTATGTATGTATGTATGTATGTTGTTATTGTTATGGACTATTTAATGATAATAAAAAATTAAGCTTAGGTTTGTCTTAAGATGTACTTCATGACTTAAGATCAACTACTTACCATAACACTCATGCTGAAACTACAATACAAGTAACTGGAAGTGAATATCTGGAGACATTCCATACTTGTGGGAAGATTTGAAAGCAGTACACTTTCCCCCATTTAATACATTTCTCTTCTATGTTTTTAAAGGAAAGCCAAGAAATTCCTTCCTCTATTTATATTTAGAAGATTTGTAGAAACACTTTGTTCTTTGGATATGTTTTATAAGAAAACTAGACTAAATGATTAGATTAGATTTAATAATTTAACATAATCCTACTCCACTTTCTTTTAGCTGACATATGGCTCATTAGCCCAAGAGGAATTTCAGATCAGTAAGCTCTCTTCAATTTATTTCATGGTTCCCAAAGAGGACCATCAATACATTGGGATTATTCAACTGCTTCACCATTTCAGATGGACATGGATTGGGATTTTTGCTGTTGATAACAACAATGGAGAAAAATTCTTAGAGAAAATGCACCCCTTACTTTCACAGAATGGAATCTGTTTAGCATTTATAGAAAGGCTTTTACAACTGGTCCACTTTGAAGATTTCTCAGAAGTTTTTCAAATAATCTCAATGATTTCCATTAATTTGATGAATAGCAAAGCCAGTGCATTTCTTGTCTATGGAGAATCATTAGCAATTATATGGCTGAGAAGTCTCACATTTCTGGTTGATCCTGAAAGCAAGGAAACAGCATTATTTAGAAAGGTGTGGATCATGACTGCACAGATTGATTTTATATTATCAGGTGCACAAATAAATTGGGATCTCCACATGTTCCATGGAGCTATTTCTTTCAATGTTCATTCAAAAGAAGTTGCAGGTTTCAAGGAATTTATTCAGACCATAAACCCTCTTTCAGTCTCCCAAGATGGTTTTTTACAAGATGTTTGGGAACAATCATTTGAGTGTTCATTTCCAAAATCAGAGTTAAAAGAAACATACAGTAGGAAATGCACTGGGGAAATGAAGTTGGAGGATCTTCCTGCACCTATATTTGAAATGGAAATGACTGGCCAAAGCTACAGTGTCTACAATGCTGTTTATGCTGTGGCTCATGCTTTGCAGGCTCTGTACACATTATGGTGCCATAGAAAAAAAACTATGATTGGTAAAAAAACTGATCTTCCATATATCCAAGCTTGGCAGGTATTCCCTTTGCACTGGACACTTCTTTTATTTCAGTAAGCAGTTTGATGTAGCATTACATTTTGAAGCCATTGTGGAAAGTCTTAATATTTTCTGCATATGGAATGAAGTATGAGAAACAAAGGAGAAAAAAGGAAGAATTTCCTAATGGTGAGAACAGTTAACAATTAGTGGAAAAAGTTGTTTTGAGATTTTAAGGAGACATTTACAAAGAGAAGGAGAGGCATTTGTCCACCTTGAGCAGGGAGTTTGACAAGAAAACTTTCAAGTCCCTTCTGACTCTGTTACATTGACTAAAATACATACAGGAAAAATAGTTTCTGTTGTTATTCTGGTCATCAAGAAGCTACTCTGTAAATTATGGCTTAGATGTTCACATGAGTTATTTAGTAAATCATTGTCTGCTCCAAAAATAATCAATTATCTAAGAAGTTTGTGGCACGTGAAATTTTCATGGGTAACAAGCTAAGATTCCTGTCTCTATCAGAATTTTAGACAACTAAAATAAAGGTAATCCTTTTTACAGGTTTGCAATAATCTCCAGCTCCTGGAGATTACAAGCCACGGTCATCCCCATCTTCAAAAAGGGAGACCCCAGCCTAGTTGAAAATTACAGACCAATCTCTTTATGCTGCATCACCTGTAAAGTCATGGAATCAATTATTAACCAATCCATTATCCTCCACTTAGAGACAAACAACCTGCTCTCTAATAAACAATTTGGTTTCAGAAAAAAACATCCTGCAATCTGCAACTCTTACACTGCAAAAACATATGGACTACACAACTCGATCAGGGCAAAGCAATAGACGCAATCTACATAGATTTCTGTAAAGCCTTTGATTCAGTGGTACATGACAAACTACTCCTAAAACTAAAATTTTATGGTATCTCTGGACACCTGCATAACTGTATAGTAGTATTCCTATCAAACAGACAACAAAATTGGGAGCGTCCTATCAAATTCTGTTCCTGTCAACAGTGGTCTCCCCCAAGGCAGTGTTCTAGGACCAACTCTCTTCATACTCTACATAAATGACCTCTGTGATCATATGAAGAGCAACTGCGTTCTCTTCGCTGATGATGTAAAGCTATTCAACACCACAGACAATACTGCTACCCTTCAAAAAGACCTTGACTATGTATCAGAATGGTCAAACAAATGGCAACTTCAAATCTCAACAAATAAATGCTCTGTCTTACATACTGGCAAAATAAAATCAGAAAATAAAAAAGGCTGACTAGTCAAGACCTTGATGATTATCCAAACTCTGTCAAGGATCTTGGAGTACTCATCTCTAATGATCTAAGTGCTAGAGCCCACTGTAACTACATAGCCAAAAAGGCATTAAGAGTTGTTAACCTAATCTTACGTAGCTTTTTCTCTGGTAATATTACAGTACTAACTAGAGCATACAAAACATTTGCTAGACCAATACTTGAATACAACTCATCAGTCTCGAACCCACATTACATATCTGATATTAACACATTAACACAGTTGAGAAACTCCAGAAATATTTCACAAGAAGATTTCTCCACTCCTCTACTCATTGCAGAATACCTTATGTCACCAGATTTGAAATTCTAGACCTAGAAAACCTAGAACTACGCCGCCTTCGGTCCGATCTAAGTATAGTATATAAAATCATACATTGCAATGTCCTACCTGTCAATGAATATTTCAGCTTCAACCATAACAATACAAGAGGAAACAATAGATACAAACTCAAGGTTAATCGCACCAAACATGATTGAAGGAAATACGACTTCAGCAACAGAGTGATCAATGTCTGGAATACTCTTCCTGACTCTGTGGTTTCCTCCCCAAACCCCAAAAACTTTAACCTTAGACTTTCTACTATTGACCTCACCCCTTTCCTAAGAGGTCTGTAGGGGGTGTGCATAAGCATACCAACATGCCTACCATCCCTGTCCTATTGTTTCTTTTATTTTTCTTATATGTATCCATGTATTCATAACTATTTTTTTTACTTATACCTATTATCTTGTAAGCAATTGACAAACCAAATAAAATAAATAAAATAAAATCTATCTATCAAAGAATGCTTGAATTTCAGATTCTGAAATCTGGCTAAATGAAATTAGCCAGACTTCACACTCTCAAATAGCTTTGTACCTATGAGAAAAGATTAGATATGATCTATTCCAAATTAGTTGTTTAAGTAGTAGACCTAAAACATAATTGGATGAGGTTGTGTAGTTCCAAAAGCCTATATTCATTCTGCTTCTATTCATTCTCACCTTTTCTTAAAACAGTATCAAATTAATAAAAGAATACACACATATATTCCCATGCACTATCAAGTATAAATTTCCAAGTGTACATATTTAATAACTGTTTTTGGAATGGAAGGAATAAGTGAACAAAAATTGAACATGATGTCCTCTTCTCGATTAATAGCCTTTTAATTGCCTCTCTCTTCTATTCCCTTTCGAGTAGTTCCATTCATTTCTTCAAGGCATTTCTTTTAACAATTCAGCTGGGGAGAGAGTGATCCTGAATGAGAAAGGAGAAGCAACAGGTGGATTCGACATCACCAACTTCATCACTTTTCCAAATAGATCCTTTCAGAGAGTTAGAGTTGGAAAGATAGATCTACGGGCTCCAAAAGGGAAGGAATTATTCATTGAAGAAGATGTGATTGTCTGGAATCCAGCTTTTAACCAGGTATCGAATTAGTGAATCAGTCATGACTTAATCTATTATGATCCCATATTGAATGCAGTCTGCTTAGAAATTTAAGTTCTGGGTTTTTTAATATTCTTTTCAAATGCTGTTGATGATCAAGTACTCATTAAATGGAAATTACATTGTAATATAAAAACCATATTTGCATACTTGGTTTGTATTTTCTCAAGAGTGGCCATTTTTTCCATGACGTTGTCACCATGTGCCATTATTTGCCTACCCTCTCCTTCAGACAAGACCCTTTCTACATAATTATAGTTTCTACATCTTTTTAAGCTTTTGATGAAATTTATCAATTCAGTATTTTTTGGAAGTCAAAAATAATTTCCCTGCCTAAAGGAAAAAAATTACAAACTGTTTTAAATATCTCCAATTTCAAATACTTTTATGCTTATCACCAGGTTCTTCCACTCTCTCTATGTAATGACCCTTGTTTCCCTGGATCCTGGAAGAAAGGGATTGAGGGGGATCAGTTCTGCTGCTATGACTGTATTCCATGCCCCGAAGGGAAGATTTCAAATCAAAATGGTATGGTAGGAATTCTACCATTTTACATTAGACTTAAGCAAACTTTAATAAACTACTTGGATGCATAAAATTAATAAGGTAATTTTCAGTAATATGGATTGTTTAAATGAAAAAAAAAATCCTTGATTTTTCTTCCAGATATGGATGACTGTTTTGAATGTTCAGAAGATCATTATCCCAATAAAGAAAAGAAAGGATGTATCTTGAAACTGTTGGTCTTTTTAACTTTTGAAGAAACCTTAGGAATTGGTTTAGCCTCAGCAGCTCTTGGTTTCTTCTTGTTAACTTCATGGGTACTTGGAACATTTATTCAGCACAGGAATACTCCTATTGTCAAAGCCAACAACCGGTCCCTCACCTATACCCTCCTTGTCTCTCTTCTGCTCTGTTTTCTTTCCTCTTTCTTCTTCCTTGGCCAGCCTGGCAAAGTGACCTGCCTTCTCCGACAATCAATGTTTGGCATCATCTTCTCAGTGGCCATTTCTAGTGTTCTGGCTAAAACTATCACTGTGGTTGTGGCTTTCATGGCTACTAAACCGGGATCTCAGATAAGGAAGTGGGTGGGGAAAAGATTGTCCTTTTCTATTGTCCTTTCCTCCTTCCTTATACAAGTATTGATTTGTATACTTTGGTTGTTGACATTTCCCCCATTCCCTGAATTGGACATGTATTCAGAGCTCCAAGAAATGACTCTGCAGTGCAATGAGGGGTCAGCTTTCTTCTTCTACTGTGTCTTGGGCTACATGGGTATCTTGGCCATCGCCAGCTTTATTGTGGCTTTCCTTGCCCGTAAATTACCTGACAGCTTTAATGAAGCCAAGTTCATCACCTTCAGCATGTTGGCCTTTTGTAGTGTTTGGATCTCCTTCTTTCCAGCCTATCTAAGCACAAAAGGAAAAGCCATGGTAGCTGTGGAGGTCTTCTCCATCTTGGCCTCCAGCACTGCATTACTGGGATGCATATTCCTTCCAAAATGTTACATCATTGTTTTGCGGCCTGACCTCAACCAGCGGAAGCAACTCACAAAGGGGAATTAGTACACAATGTGATATTTCTGGCTCAGAGAAAGTTCTGTAAAAAGAAATAAAAAGAATTCTGTCAATAGGAAACATATATAAAATTATAGGAACATAGAAGTTTTTTATTTCTGTCAAATAACAATTTGTGTATGCTATTTATGATTATTAAGATCCATTATTATCGCTCATTCTCAAAGAAGTGTTCATGTTGCTGTGCTATCACCATTTCCCAAGATTCTTTAATGAAATCCTTTTTTTTTCTTTTCAACACATCCAATTAGATTATTGGTAATCTAGCTTTCTTATCTCTGTCTGCTGACCATCAGTTGAACTTTATATATACATACATACATAGAAACATTTATTTATTTGTTTGTTTGTTTGTTTGTTTAGATTTGTCAATCACTTATAAGATAATAGGTATAATTATATACATAGTTATGAATACATGAAATGGGTACATATAAGAAAAATAAAACAAACAATAGGACAGGGACTGTAGGCATGTTGGTGGCTTATGCACGCCCTCTACAGACCTCTTAGGAAAGGGGTGAGGTCAATAGTAGACAGTCTAAGGGTTCTTTAGTTTGTATTCTGTAAATTGAATTCAAACTATTGCAGAAGATTAGATCAAGGCAGTTGTTAAGTCTAGTATTGTTGGTTACTAGTTGTTCTAGTCCCAGATTTGTTACAGCATTATAGAAGGTTGCATGTATGGGTTCAGTTATACATTCATTTCGGGTCCAGTTAATATGAGGTAGATTGAGGTCACCAAGAAAGATAAAAGCTTGTGAGCAGGATGTTGCCCATGTTAATAGTAAATTTAACTTGTTTATATGTTCGATGTCATAATCAAGGGCTCTGTAACATAGTAAGAATCGAAATGTGATATTTAAGGACAGTTCACAGTATATATTATTGATATACACATATATACATTATATATGCGTGTGTGTGTGTGTGTGTGTGTGTATACACATCAGATGAACACTATACAGAAGCCTGATGATGGCAGATGAGATTCTGCCGAAACGTTGCTACAACTTTAAAAGCACAACTACAATGACGTGGGAAAATACCCGAACAAAGCTGAATGCCATACATGTAAGTACCTGCGAAAACTTAAGAATATATATATGTATATGTATATGTATAGGTATATATATCTTTGGTTCTTTGGTTATTCGGGTTATATACATATATATATATATGCAGATCTTGGCATGTTCGGGTCTTTTCCCGTGTAAGATTGAGAGTATCTTGGCAATGTTTTGACAAGGTCCCACTTGCCATCTTCAGGCTGGTGCTTTCAGCTTCGTGCTTGTGCGAGCAAAGCGTGATCAGAGCTGCTGTCTCTCTATAAATACTGGTGGGGAGTTTGGCTGTGTTGTCATTTCTTGATTGGTTGATGGAGTTGATGTTTACAGATTGGCTGGCTTTTTTGTAAGAACATGTGTGGCTGAGGTATTGGCTGGGTGTCTATCAGCCTCCTGTGTTGTAACGACTTGGGTCATGGGCTGTGTGATGACCTTCTGTTCAATTGTTGTGCCATGCTGGGTCTTGTGCTGTAATCTCCTGGGTCATTGGCTATGTTGTAACATCCTGAGGTTTTGTGGTATAACCTCCTGAGTTCCGTGATGTGATATCCTGAGCAGGTGACTGTGATGTGACGTTCTGGGTTTTGGTTTGGCTCCGAGTTTGAGGCCTGGCTATGTGTTCATGGTGTGTGTCAGTTTGCTTGGTTTGTGGGTTGGGTGTGTGGTAGCTGGTGATGCAGCCATGGTCTGGTTTCTGGATAGTGGTTGCCTTTCGTCTATGGGGTGGGGTTGGGTTTGAGTCTGGTGAGGGAGATTGGTGGTGGCATCATGTGTTGTTTTTGGTCTGGTGTTGATTTTCGTGGCTGGAACTCTTTGTTGATAAGGGCTAGTTTCCAGATGTCTGGTAGGCAGGAGGTGTCATCCCATTTATTCATGTTATGGGGTGTTTCTCTATTTCAATGGCTTCCCTGATTATTTTCTTGTTGAAGTGTTCCGTATTGGAGATTAATTTGGTTCCCTCAAAAATAATTTAATGTCCTGTGGTTTTAAGGTGCTGGAAAAGGGAAGAAGTATTTTCTTCTTTTCTGGCTGTGTTCTTGTGTTCTGCGATGTGTGCATTTATTCTCCTGTTGGTCTGTCCAATGTATGTGGCTGGGCAATTGTTGCATGGTATTTCATAAACTCCTTGGTTTTCTAGCTGGATCTTGTCTTTGGGGTTTCTTAGGATGTTGGCTATTTTT